GGCACAATCTGAAACATCCTGAAAAAAAGAAGTGTTTTTTGTCATTAAAGTTTGTATTTTTATAAATACTTCAATGTACCTATGGAGATGGATATGAACCAAACCAACGTTCATGTAAATGGAGCTTTCTGTACGGTGGCCGACAGCCCAAAACATTTCCATTAGGTTTGACCAACTTGAGGAAACATGTGCAGCCTTTAATTTAACCTTAAAAGCTTAAACGCTGCAAGAATCTCAAAACACAACGGAAACCAGGGGACACTAAAAAGTGACGAACACAGCGCTTGGTGACGTTCAGGATTATTAAACTGGACAACTGTCTCTGTTGTTGGAAACACACCTAAACAAATGTTTTATGGACTTATTTTAACAATGTGATCACATGACTCCTTCTGATCTGCAGATCTGCTGTAAGCTACATAGCTAATGTAGCTAACCTAGTCCTTTCAGATATACTGACAAACACTTAAAGTTATGAGGCAGAGACAGTTGTCCATCTTTATAATCCACTAAGTGGAAGTGGAAGTGTTTTGGTTTGTTGTAGCACCGGCCACCATACCTAAAAAGAAAATTAAACTAGATTAAATAATGACTTTTTCATTTTTAAAGACATTAACATTTGAATTCAACCTCATATTTCTCCATTACTGTCCGTATCATCGTAGCTGAGATCTTTCTCAGGACTTTTTGTTGGCAGATCAACTTGTTTATGCTTAGCAGTGAATTCTGGGACATGTTTTCCTGCTTAAACTCGATCTCTAAGTTGCCCTGCTGTCGAATTTCTTCTTATTTTCGGGCTACATGTAGCAATAGGCGCCAAACAGAGGCTTCATCTTGTTGGGGAATCCAAACGAGCGCACCCCGGCTTCAGGGATTCCTCCACAGAGTTCCCGGGGGTTGCTGATGGGAAACCGTACGCTGCCGTCTCTCAGCCATCCGCCGTCACACTGGTCGTAGTTTTGGAAACGCCAGGCGGAGTAAAGATGGCCGACCAGCGCCAACTCCGCTCCCTGACGCTGACATGCGTGCCCGGCCTGTTCAAAGGAGAAAGACCCCGAGACGAAGGAGACGGAGCCTGAGAGAGGAGATAAGATAGATAGATGGAAAGATACTTTATTGATCCCAATTTGTGAAATTCTTTTAATTAGAGAGCTTTAATCCAGAGAACGTTAGCTAGCTACCACAACCTTTATGTCTTTATGGTCCTGCAGAAAGCTCTAACAATGTTTAAAAAGAGGATCGAAGCACCACAATGTCCATGTTCATTGGCCATTTATTTGAAAAAGATCCTGTCAACCACTTGAATTTTCGAAATTGCGGACGTCATTTCCAGCCGAGGAAACAGTATTTTCCCACAGAATTTAACCCACTGGATCAATTTCAGGGATTTGGATATTGAACTACATGTTTTTGATTATGGGGAAATTCAATTCAATACTAAGAAACTTCTTCAGAGCTTTTTTCTGTCATTTTTAACACAACTTGATAAACTGTGGGGCTTATTAGAAAGCATTTGGTACACGAAACCACACTCTACTAATACTAGTCTTCTATGTTAGCAGAATTAGGACACCGACACCGAAACTTGGTTCATGTCATGCAATTTGGTTGGATTATGTTCTCACTGCAATGAAACACCACTCGGGTTTATTTGGAAACGATCCAAGACCAACTCTCACAAACTGTCTCGGACCGTTTTCTTTGGTCTGCATCGATGCACGATTATTGAGTTCAAAACCACCCAAACGAGCCGCACCAGATATCAAATGAAACTAAATATTGGCTTGTGAAACGCCCATAAAAGTCCCCTTTGCTTCAGGCTTTCTGTCACCAAACCAGACAAAACCTTGATCTGTGTTGGGAAAATACTGAATGTCCTCTTCCAACATGAGAGTAACATGATAACAAAGGTATCAACTGTAGCTGTGAACATGACAGGATGTGTGATTACCTAGAAGAGCATCAGGACTGTTTGAGGCATATGATAGCTATGTGATTAACATGATGATTCAGCCTCTATGGAGAGAGACATATGACAAGCATGATCATTTCTGACGTGGAGCTAATCTGAAGTAAACATTGAATACTGCTTTCTATTCCTCCATCTTGTGACTGTGGAACTCCCTCTCTTGGATATCAGCATGTGAAGGACACTGTTCAGGAACTAGTTGATGCTCTGTATGTGATGACTACTTCCATTCTGGAGAGGATCACAGATACATGGATCCTGAGATTCAAGCTCAAGCCGGGGTCCAGTGAGATTTTTCAAACAATCCCAATTTGGGAAATGTTTGAGTTGCAGCAACATAAAAAGACAAGGAGAAATTGAAGAAATGAAATGAAAAGACTAGAAATAAACAATTAAAAATGTAAACGTCTCAAATAGTAATAGAATAGCATTAAAAAAGTAAAAAATATACATGTGGAAAATATAAATGTACAGTAACATATATAAGCAGGATATATACATTAATAGACATTTAACCTCTGTTCTTCCTCTCCCTTGATCATCCTTAGCAGCAGTGCCTTATCAAGTATTAAAGATTCAAAAGATTAAAAGGATTTATTGTGAAATGTACATAAAAAACCTTGATCTTTAATTTTTAAATTCGGTGTAGAAATGGCAATGAAAATCTTCTGACCTGAGCTGCTCCAAAAATACAAATAAATAGTGCAAAAAGTCTATATACGTGTAAATAGAATATGATTATGTACAAGAACAGAATATGATATTAAATAATGTACATTAAGACAAAAGGTCAAGGCGTGACGAGTGATATATTTTTTCTAACAATCTTCACCCACTCAAAGCTTACCAGAAGTCTGCGAGGTGAAGCAGAAAGCGTCAAACCGATCCTGATTCTTATCTTTCGCTCCATAACTGCGGATGCCGGGGAGCAGCTCTCCTCCGCATGCGGGTCGGGGCTGGATAATGGGGTAATGAACCGTGCCGTCCTGCAGCCAGCCGGCGTTACACCAGTCCAGACCCTCCGTCCACGCTGCAGGAGGACAAACACGCTGATTTACCTGCAAGTCCACATGTTACTGTGTGCAAATACAATGAAAAACCAGAGGTGACAGGGCTTTCGCTGTTTCAGCTCTCAAAGTCAAAGTAAACTTTATTGTCAATCTTTCAGTTTGTGTGTACTACATACAGAGACATCGAAATACAGTTTCCCACAATCCCGAATACAAAAACAAATATATATAAAAACATGTATAAAAATATGTATACCTACAATCAAAAGACACATTTATACATATGCCCACATTAATGCTGCGTTCACACCGGACGCGATACACATTTTGGTGGCGGCACGATTACATGTAAAGTCAATACAAAGACACGGACAGACGCAAATTCGCTTCGACGGTGCGCATGAAGCGGTTGATGCGATGCAAACCGCTCGAGTTACATTTGTTCAACTCAAGCGTGAAATTCGCTTGACGCGTTAGCACAGTAGCCAATCAGTGGTGGGGATCTCAGCCTGCCGTCACTGAAGTTGGATCAGAAAAGCAAAAATATCAGCTGTTAGCACTCAGAGCTCACAGCTCCTCAAATCTGTTCAGAAACTGGACAAAAGTTAAACAAGCTACAAACCACAGACCGGATACAAAATATTGGTGTACATTGTGTGCATTAATGTAATGCATAGAGTCTATGTCTTTTCAGTCCTGTTTACCTCTGTACAGCTGGTGGTATGAAGCTAAGATGCCGTCTTGCTCGGCACAAACCTCCTTCGCCTCGTGGAAAGTCAATCTGTAGCGGCCGTCTTCACTCTGGTACGGAAACACAACTCCTGCAGAAAGAAGCAGGGTGTTTTGACCAGAGATGGAAAAAGTACACACATCCTTTACTAAAGTAGAAGTAAAGATACTTGTGTTTAATAAAAGTAGAAGTACTGACTAAACTTCATTACTCAAGTAAAAGTAAAGAGGCTTTGAAATGTACTTCAGTAAAAAGTACCCATAACTAGCAGCTGTTTTAAAGAGCACCTGACCTCCCTTTATATTAATAGAACAATAATGTCATTGTTAGCTAATGAATGTTTCCATGGTGACCAACGGCAACATGACAACGTTTTCATTGGTCCCTCTTCTTTAGAGAAGACCAGGAAATGATGGATACACGGATCGTGTTCAAATCAATAGGCACGCAATGACTCTAAATAATAATGATCACGCCACCAAACACACATTCAGACTAAAGGAACCAGCCTGTTTGGAAAATGAGAGAAGTAGAAAGTACAGGTATTTGAGTTCAACATGTAAGAAGTACAAAGTAGGCTACAGGTATTTGTGTTCAAAATGTAAGAAGTAGAAAGTACAGGTATTTGTGTTCAACATGTCAGAAGTAGAAAGTACAGGTATTTGTGTTCAACATGTAAGAAGTACAAAGTAGGCTACAGGTATTTGTGTTCAAAATGTAAGAAGTAGAAAGTACAGGTATTTGTGTTCAAAATGTAAGAAGTAAAAAGTCGTCAGAAAAATAAGTGGTGGAGTAAAGTGCTGATACCAGAAAAATGTACCTACAGTAAGGAAGTAGGCCTATTCATACTCCAGTACTTCCCACCACTGGCTGCCAATGGTCTCCATACTGCTTTGATTACCTTCTATCCTCAGAGTAATGACCACGCTCTCGTCCTCGATGCCGTTCACCAGCTCGCAGCGGTACTTCCCCCCGTCGTCCAGCAGGAGGCGTCTGATCTGCAGCGAGGCGTCCATGCTGTGAGATCTCCGGAGAGACGCTCGCGCTCCAAGATGGCCGTACGGTTTAAAGGCTTGTGCGTTAGAGATCATGATGATGTTTTCCCGCCCCACGTTCTCCGGCTCCAGCTTGGTCCACTTCACTTTGTAATGTCTGGGTTTGGTTCTGATGATACACGGCAGGGTGGCGTTTTGTCCTCTTAGAGCGACGACCTCTGCGTAAACCGGAGGCTCCAAGAGGTACTTCAGCTTCGAGGTAACTGTGGAAGAACCGGAATCAATCAATCAATCAATCAATCAATCAATCAATCAATCAATCTTCGCTTCCTCAGTAGAGTAAAGAACATTGTGAAGGACAATTCACACCCTGCATGGGCACCATCTGTTTGACCTACATAGGCCTATGTCTTAAAGCAAAGACAAACAGACTTAAAGACAGTTTCTTCCCCAGAGCAATAATTACACTAAACTCTGGCTTGCACTGACACAATATATGTATATATACAGGACTGTCTCAGAAAATTAGAATATTGTGATAAAGTTCTTTATTTTCTGTAATGCAATTAAAAAAACAAAAATGTCATACANTGTATAAGCAGCACAGACATTGCCCTCTGCTGTTTTCAGACAGTATTAATACTAACGCTTCTTCCTCTCTTAGTTTAATCTGTGGGATCCACGGATAGAGAAACTCTCTCTGGAGGGAACCCAGGGATTTAGCCTTTGCAGACCATTTACATGCACTAAAGCCTATATAGCACACTACAAGAAAGAGAAAACCCCAACAAGCAGAATAAGGTCTCTTTAAACACCAGGGTCAACTATTTGTTTCATGTTGCCATCACTTTTTCTGGAAGGAGGAAGAAACATGCTTAGTATATTTAGCTAAATAAGAGTATTTCTGTGGATGAATATAAAAAGGCTAAGAAACATCTTGCTCTTATCGCTCCCCTAGTCGTTACTTTAATACATTTTATAAGGCACAATGTGTGATGTATTTACACACAACTCAGTATGAGCCAGGAGTCCCATGTGGATTTAAACACCACAGTTCATATCATGATACAAGCAGAGAGAAAAAAACATGCTCTTTGTACACTTCGTGCACAGACATGTTGGGGGGCGGCAGCTCCAGTGAGAAAAGGTTATTTCCCATAATCATTTATTAAAAAAAGCACAATTAAAACCCATATCTTCCATTTCAGCTCAATTAAAGCACATATGCAAAACGATTTTACACAAAGCATTCTAACTACAATATGTGATTAACTCTACTTATTGAAATGCAAAAGGCTTAATGTACTTTTTCTCAAGTCAGATGGAGTTCAACATGAAGAATAGGAAGTGTTTGGAGCCTTGACAGATTATGGTTTCCTTACCAAGACCGATTTCTTCTCTGCTCTGCAGCTGCAGCAGTTCTCAGTAACGTATTTCCGCCTGCAGGTGAACGCTCTCTGACACTTCAGATTTATGTGGTTAATTGATTAGTTCTCGGTGTGAGGTTTCACTCCTGCAGCAGAGAGAGGGCCTGGGAATCACATGATGTTGAGTCGGAATATTCCTGTTCATCCTGTTTAGCTTCTTAATTAATTCAGCTTGAAATGATAACCCTTAAAATAACATCTCCCTCGTTCCTCAACATAAGCCAGAGATTTCTCCATTGGATTTTTGATTATTGCAGAAAATAACCTCTGTGGCAAACCAACGTTTATGATACTCACACTTTTAGTTCAGCACGATAATCTCCAGATATTAACACCACTTTATGATTTCTGAAGTAAAAAGCTAAAGTGCTATAATGCTTTAAAGGAACTGCCGCACGGTCACATGACTTCACGTCACCACCGCTAAGCTAAAGGAGGCTAATGTTGGGCTATAAAGGAACTACAGCACGGTCACATGACTTCACGTCACCACCGCTAAGCTAAAGGTGGCTAATGTTGGGCTATAAAGGAACTACAGCACGGTCACATGACTTCACGTCACCACCGCTAAGCTAAAGGTGGCTAATGTTGGGCTATAAAGGAACTACAGCACGGTCACATGACTTCACGTCACCACCGCTAAGCTAAAGGAGGCTAATGTTGGGCCTGATGTTTAGTTGTCTCTTTTAGACACTTGTTAGCAACCGCCTTTATTTATGTGCTGTAGAACAATAATTTATTGAGCTTGTGTTAATCACAGACCTTATTTCATGCTTACTACCAAACACACATTCAACATTTTTTTGACTTCAACACGAGAGAACAGGAAGTGATATAATACTGACTAATCTCTGATTTTTAGGGGCTCATTCCTTCACCACTCTACAGAAATATAGCAGAGCGCTGAATGTCCAAACAACACTGACACTAACCCGTGTAATAAAAGTATTTATCTGACGTGCCCCTCCCCTCCCAGTGCAGCAGATGAGAGGCTGATAGGGAGCAGGTTTGATGCCGGATCAGCGCTCGCTGCACGGTGCGTGACTCTGTTGACGAAAGGCGAGACAAGTGGCGGGGTCATGGAGACAGCTTCACGGTTAAAAGTATGTTCCCTCTGACAACAATTGCACCGCTCTGAAAGGTTCCCCCCTAGCCCCGAGGACATTTTTAACATTTTTACAGAGGCCCCTTCTCCTGGAGAGTGACAGTTTTTGAGCGTATTGAAAGATTTGCCCCCTGAAAAATAAATATTCCTGACAGCTCAGAGAGGCTCACCTGTAACCCCCCTGCTTCTCATGCAGGTAAATGCGGGTTCCTTTCTTATCTCTGCACACACATGCTCACAGGGAGTGTAAATGGCTCTGGATTTAACCTTTGACCCTTTGTTATGCAGCAAACAATGTTTTGCATACCTCTCCTCGGTGTAGCTTAATTTCTATACAACAGTGCAGCAGATTCAGGTGTGAGATTTTAGTCTGTGCTCCTAGGAGGAAATAAAAGCAGCACTTCAGGAGAACTTGTTCCTTCGACTGACTTTTCTTTCATTGCTTTGTGTTTCTTTCCCCAGGTGCATTCAGGAGGACGGTCACGCTATGAATGCTGGGTAAGTAAACCTAGACATACCTCGTCTCACGGTGCTTCCTTGTCGTATTGCCAAATGAATTATTGTAAATGTTGACCCAAGGTGCATAAACACACACCTTCCACCTCCTTATTACTATGATTCCTCCTATAACGGTTAAAAAGAAAACCATTATGAATTGAAAGAATATTTTTTTTAGGAGACATGTTGACCTAGATGTAGTCTGATAAAACATGGCAAATTACACTATTATTCTCATTCTAATATTAATATATATAGTCAAGGTACAAGAAAAGTTTGTTGAAGCAGCAAGGCAGAAAGTAAAGCTAAAAAATAAATCCAATTAACAAAATAATCCTATGTTTTAAATTTGAAAAAAAACCTCCAGCAGTGTGTTGTATAGGTTTAGTGAATGCAAATGGTCTGCAAAGGGAGTTTTTCTCCCACACACTAACCTAAATTAAGTTATCATACGTATTTTATTAAATTAGCAACGTCTAGACAAAAACAGGAGAGAGTGTTTGACCTGTTGTCCCCGACATGTTGCTATCTACTGCTGAACCCGTCGAGTCTGAACTGTCGACGCCCCGTGATGCTCCCACAGGAAGATAGAGATCTGAGCAGAGACACACAGATAATCTACATTCCCAACCTGTCTCACTCTGTTCAGCCTGCAGCGCCTGTGTGTGTGTGTGTGTGTGTGTGTGTGTGTGTGTGTGTGTGTGTGTGTGTGTGTGTGTGTGTGTGTGTGTGTGGCCTAGCATTACTATACTTGTTGGGACCTACATCTGCTTACACAGTCACGTGTGGGGAATCATTAATTTTAGGGTGAAGACTTGGTTAGGGTTAGGCATGTGTTGGTTGTGGTTAAGGTTAGGATAAGTCTCCAGGAAATCTATGTAATTCAATGTAATGTCCCCTGAAGTGATGTATACATGGTGTGTGTGTGTGTGTGTGTGTGTGTGTGTGTGTGTGTGTGTGTGTGCTAAATGGATTCCCTCCATCTTAGCTGAGCTGGAAACACGAGGTTAATGAGCGAGCGACGTTCAGAGCACTTAAACAACATTCATCAGAGTGTAAAACAGAAATGCATCAACAACACATGCAAATACACTGTACAGATGTTTGGGTATTTTTTTCGGGACCCCGTTGCGGTTGGGACTGAACTGAATGAGGGCATAATTAACCCAGAAAACATGTGATGCAGTGTCTTCGGGCTGGACCATTAAACGGTGCATATGAAATGGAAGTAGTCACCATGAAATCACACATTCGTCTAAGACAAAACAGGAAAACACACAGACAAAGAATTGGAGCATTTTAGAGCTGTGAAGTTATGACAAGTGTTAAACCTGAAGTTAACCGCTCCCTCGCTGAATTGCAGTAAATAAGCTTAGTGTCAAAAAAACGTTTTTGATACTTCACAAGATAATTTCCACATTTTAACACCATTAATTTGTGAAGCATAAATGCATCAGAAATAACAAGCTAATTTAACAGCTGTTTTACGACACACTGAAGCATCCGAAACTAATGGGGTATTTACTGACACATTTAATCTTGTATAACGAAATGTTAAAACATCTTCAGCTTGTGTTAACCACAGACCTTATTTCAGGATTCTAGCCACTAACACGTTCAAAAATACATATACTTTGGGAACCAGAAGTGGTCAAATGTTAAGTATTTTGTGGGTTTTAGGACTCGTTACTGCAGCACTCTACTGGACATTTAATAATGAGGGGCAACTGTGGCGCAGGGGGTTGATGGTCGTCCTCAACGGAAGGTACCAAGCCCCTTCAGTCAACATGTTGATGTGTCCTTGGTTAAGATACTTAACCCCAAACTTCTCCCAATGGCATGGCAATAGTGTCATTCGTCTCCTGATCGCCTTCCTCTGTGTGAATGTTTGTGAATAGATGAAGCTGACTGGTGAATGTGAAGGAGCTTTGAGGAATGGCAAAGACTGGAAAAGTGGTAAATGATATAATGCATGTTTAAAGCCCTTCCACATTGGCTTCAATTTGAGACACGAAGGTTGCCGATCTAATCCAGGGACTAAGAACTGGGTATTTCTGCCTTAGCTGCTTCGATGATGAAGTTATGTTTTTCTAAATCTGTTAATGTAAAGCCTCTCAACTTGAAAATGAAATATGAACTCATTGTAGTATCCGTTTAACCTCACGTGTCATTATCAAAGGAAGTGGCAAACACTGTATTTTGTTCATTTAGATTGGAGAACATGGTTAATGCAGATTAGAAATATTCAATGGTAA